GGTGTTGGGTTTGTGGCTTGGTTTTGTTTTCCCTCTTTTTTTTTTTTTTTTTGTTTTGTTTTTTTTTTGTTGTTTTTGTTTTGTTTTTTTTGTTCTTGTTCGAAGGTCTCTTGTTTCCTGAACAAGGCCGGCTTGAACAGGAGGGACGGAACTTGCCCTGCCTTGTGTTCAGGAATACTTCTGTTAAGCCGTGTGCCAGAAATTAATGTTAATAACGGACATAACACGTTTCTCTACGTCTAACTGTGCTCATTACTTCAGCTGCGTGCTAGGGATGCACTGAGATGGGAGATACAGATATTAGCAAAATAAAAATACTGTTTCTCTCAAGTCGATGATGATCAACAGAACAGGGGAGGATCAGAAGTATTTTTTTCTCAACACATCTCTTCTGCTAGGAAGTGGATGTCAGAGGTGTCCTTTTAAACCGTTTGGGGTTTTTTTTCTGCAAATTAAATAGCAGTGGCAGAAAAGGGAGGGAGTTATTCACACCCAGATAAAAAGAAGTTCAGAAAAATAAAACTTAGATTATTAAAACTAAATAGCAAATAAAATGGTATTTATCTTTTTTTATTTTACTACATTACATCTGTGTAGGTTTGAATGAGAACAATTTAGAATAATTATGGAGAATTTAATATGTATATAAAGTATATGTTATATACATCTGTTCATGTAAAGTTATGCTTAAAGCAGCCTTACCGAGTTTTAAACACTTTAGTAGATTCAAGGTGACTTTTACACGGTTCTCTAGGGTTTTTTTTTTTTATTTGTTCCACTCTTGTTTCTTAATATACTGGAGTTCCTTCTGACTGAATATATATTTTTGTTACAGCTGTTGCTTTTATTTTTCATGTAGTAATCTAACTTCACATTCATATGCAAATAATGTTTGTGCCCATGCATACAATTTTGCCAGTGTGTATATTCACATAAAATATCAAAACCTAGTACTGTAGTAAAGTAAGACTTAGAAATGCTGTAGACATCAGTTCTAAATTACATAATTTAGTTTTAGAGATAGATTGTAATTAATTATTTTACTCTTGGTTTTATTTACAGCTTTTGTATGTAACTTTTAAAAATACTGATTTCTTTGCCTAATGGTTATGGACATCTGACCTGACTTCAAATTATTACCTTGGAAAAAAATTAAGTATTTACTCCAATAGCCTTCTTGTGAAACAAAAAACCCCCAACTTGCTATTGACTCTGAAAATACCTTTCAATAGTATTATCATAAATCCAGAAGATAATGTTTCACTCGTGAGTGCTTAGGAAGCAAAGATTTCCCACTCAAAAACATGGTACAATAGATGTATGCAATTTAAGAAATTATTTTCTGCTACTGTTTTTTTTCCTGAGGCATTTGATGATTTAAGGCCTGAATTTTGTATGATAAATTATTTCTATTAATTCAATTGACATAGAAATTTGCTTTTTACATTATAATCAACATCAGACAAAATATAATGTAATCTCAGTCTTAACTTTAAGAACAATTCTGTAAGAGATCCAAACTTCTGATGTATTCTGTAGCATTAATTTTGTAACCTTCATGGAAGCGTGGAAACTCACTTTTCTGTCCGCTTTCTGGATGAAAAACAACTTGTTAAGTAGTGAACTATAGGTCTCATGAATACTGCCTACTGAACAACAAATACTAATGTGATCTTTTAAATGTATTTCATGCTGAGGAATAAGAGGAAGATGACATAGTAGCTTTCAGTCATCTGAGAGTATTTGTGTTACTTAAGTTAACTTTGTATAGAAATACATAGTTAAAAAGTAAAGTCAACAATTCTTGTTTCAATAATACATGGTGTAACATTAAAAGACTCTGTCCAAACTGTAAAAATAGGTTAATCAATGAGGTGAAATAAAGTTCTGTAGCTTACATGCAAAATATTTTCGCTTAGTCAAGCATGAATTTGCAGAGCTTCTAATGGATGTGAACTTCCAGTTCTGCTGATAATGCACAACAGTAAACAGAATATATATAGAGATTAATATAATAAATATTTTGATGAAATAATGTGTCTAAAACTTCAAAGCTTCTATTTAAATACTGAAGTCTAATTTGTTCCATGCAAGACCTGTGGGAATACCTTCATGGAATATGAGGGACTACAGGATGGACTGCGTTAATCTAGAACTTCTTCTGGTGGTTCCAGAAAGCTGTATTCCGTTTCAGTTGAGGAAGGTTGTGGATGAAACAGTTTATGCATCGTATTTTCCTTTAGTTACTGCTTTCCTAGGAGAGTTTATATTTTCAAATAGAAATTACTGATGTTCCAGCAATATTCTACTGCATTCTCCCTTTGAAGATTTCACTTGTACTTCCTTCATATGAGGAAAAGACCCTGCTTCTATATAGGTTAAAAACCTTGACAAGAGAATACAGGTTTTTAAAACAAACTTACTTGGGTTTGATCAAGATTACAATGTTTGTGTTGCTTTCTAATATTCCTGCAGGTATACTTTAAAATGGAAAAGCGATTTTCAAATTTTATTCCTTCTAGCCAAATAGAGAATTCTGCTGTCTCTTTGAGTATGCCAAGTTAAGGGAAGTGGTAGAAAGGATTTTTGTTACATTAGTGAAATTAGCTACATGAGACCTAACAATTGAAGGAACTCTCAATAACTGCTTTTGTCATAATAAAAATTAACAAAACAGCTTTCATGAAGACCAAAGAGTATCAGTTATGGGCTGATATCTGAAGGTTGCACTGAAAAATAACTGGGCTTGCTGTTTGGCTTTTCTAAATAAGGACTATTTGGAAGAAAAAAATATAAACTATAAATTATTTACTTGACAAATGTGTCAAGTTAATATGCTACCTACACTAGCAATTTGGAATGTACTGGTCAAAGTTTTAGTGACAGTGTTGTTTGGCAAGATTCTGAAATTAGCCTTGTTTGTGATTTTTTGACTTATGCAAGTTTGCATTAAAAAGGAGGAGGTGCTATGCTGTGCTTCTTTCAGTGACATAGTAAGTAGGCAAATTAGTAAATTTCTATACTCGTCCATTTTGGCTAACTTTTCCAGGAAGTCTAAACCCTATTTTTTTTAATTAAGGATTAATAGTTTAAAATAATTGCATACAGTTTTATGTGACTAATTGTTTTTTTTTTCCTTTTTATGTTTCAGCAACGCACCTCTTGCTTTTTCCTCCAAAGTATGTTATATTAAGTTTCGTGAAGCATCAAGTGTTGGTGTGGCCCAGCATCTAACTAACACGGTTTTTATTGACAGAGCTTTGATAGTTGTGCCCTGCGCAGAAGGTTGGTATTTTAGACGTTCTTCTGTAATGTTGGTGTTTGTCATGTCTGCTAATTGTTTTAAGCTTTCCATGTGAAGAGGTGCTACTCTGTGGTTGTTTTACTTTATTGTGGTTTTTATTTTTAAAAAAAGTCTTGAAAAAATGTACAAATTAAAAGAAGAAACCCAGCTAGATATATTTAATTGACATCCTTAAAAAAAAAGGTAGCTGCTTTAAGTTAGAATAATTCAATTTTATATAGTTATTACATATTCTGAAGGAAAAGAAGGTAAAATAATTCCCTTCAATATAATTTATGTTGTCAAACTTATTCTTACACAGAGTTCTCACTGAAGTCAATGGAGCACTGAAAAGATTAGACAATTTCCAGGCACCAGTAATACTGCATTATAAATCTTAATGTATTACCTTTGGTGTGATGGGTTTTTTGTTTTTGAGGGGGGGTTTGTTTGTTTTTTTTAGATACTAATTCTTTTTCCGTTTAAAAAAAATTAATCCCAGATTTGTCTTATAGACATGGGATATATGCATTTCGCCATTTTAGGTTAATCTGCTGTAAAATACTTAGCATTCATGGTGGTAATTACTGTTTCAGTATAAATGTTTACCTGCCAGTTTAATTTAAAAAATTCAATTTTCCCTTCTTCTTGCTGTGTAAAATACTACCTTATGTGCTATAAAAAGTCATGTATACTATCACTTGGTTTTGGTTTTAGATATGTCTTTCAAAAATGCAGTAATCTGTACAAAATCCTTCTGCTGTAAAATATTTTTAAAACTCATAATAAAATCCTTGATGAATACTAAATTTACAAGTGTTCCTTTAACTACCTTTGAGGCCACACTCTTGCAGGTGTGTTGAATGCAGGGTAGTTCATATGCTTAGTATAATATTGCAGATCTGAATGCAGTTACCTGAAGTATGGCCCTATGGTAGGCATATTGCTGTAGTTAGGCACAGCCCCATTGACTTCATTGGGATCATTGTGGATTTGAGCATCTGCTCGTTTGGTTCAGGACTTCTTTGCCTCTTTGGAGTGGACACATGCCAGCTGGTGGAGTGAATCTAACTTCACTTTGAACATGGTAACTGTTTTGTCATGAACGACAGTATTTAAAATGGTTAAACCATAAATTGCAGCAAGTTCAGAAATATCTCCTATTAGCATAACTTTTATAAATGCAAGAGGCAGGTTTTTGTTCAAAAGATAGTGTTGACTATAGTGTTGATAGAGTCTTTTAATAGTGGTCCTAGAGTACCATTTTTTTCATGTTTGCTGCATCATGACCTGGATAGTATTAGATTAGTGCTGCTCTAGTTATAGTCTGGGATGTTCCTAGCAAACTCAGAGTCTCCAAAATTTTATAGACTTTAAGTACTTTTGCAAAAGCCTATATTGACCTACAATATACTACCTATTCTTGTAGCCTTCTCAACAGGGGCATATACCACATATATTTACCTTTGAGAAATCTGGATTTTTAGTTGCTCTTATGCCTTGTTTGGGTGGCTTTTTGGTTTTATTTCTTGGAACTTTTTTTTAAACCACAAAGAGTTTATTGCTGTATACTTTTGAAGCTCTGTAGAGACTGTACGGTCCAGTCTCCTTATTGTCGAAGAATTGCCCCTACATAGTTGACTACAAATTATTCAGGTTCTTAGTTTTCTGTTTCATCAAAAATACCTTAAAACTAGTTCTGTACTGCCAGAGAGGAAAGATTGTTGCCTGATGAACTAACAACATTTTCTGGTGCTTTTCTTATTATGAGATGAGTGCCTGATGTGGTATGGCAACAGGCAGGTAAAGCTGTGTTTTCCTGTGTCTCTTGATGGTAGACAATGAATGGAAGGACAAATCTTGTTCCAACCCTATTTGTAGCTGATTTATTAGGCATTTCTGAGAAGATACTACAGAAAATTTTTCCCTGTTTAAAGTAATTCAAAACCCCACAGAAACTTAGGCATAATTAGCTGAAAAAATGATTGGGTTGTGAGGTCAAAATTTCAATGTCAGAATGATATTTCCATGTAATTCTCTTACAGAATCACTAATTTTTATTTATAGGTATGTTAATTTATATAGATTTAACATTCTGAAGAGGTATTTTTTTTTGTGTGTAATAAGTGTGGCTTTGGAGATCTCGGTGCAAGATTTTTGATTCACTGTGTTTCATAAGATGCATTGTTAAATGGAGTGTGTGTCATGGGCTTTGTAAGTAGCAATGGCTGTATTCTGGGAGGTAAAATTATAACCTTGGCCAGTGGTGCCAATCATAAAACATTCCATGCGCCGAATTGAACATAGAGGAGAGGAAAAATGGTGCTCTGAAAACTTGGTTTTAAAAGCCAGATTAAAATCTGAAATTTGGATTGTATTTAAAGAGTCATAAATCAAGCGAGTACGAGGAATCACTACACAATGAAAACAGTGTAATTTTGTGACATTTATTAAATAATTTAACAAATGTAATTGTAAATGAAGTAACATTATTAAGCTGTCATGACTTTGTGTGTGAATCGGTAGGTTTTTCTTGAGCCATTATACTTTGAGAATGCAAAGGTTGAAAGATAAACAAAGATGCCACCCTAATCATTCTAAATTTTATGTCCACATTATCTGGTAGATGGATTTTGACTATTAATTTGGTTTTGTATGTTTTCTCTGTGTGATATTTGTGCATTATTAGATGACTAGACTGGCTAAGGCAGACCTGTTACACTTGCCTGAGTTAGGCATTGTTTGCCATGCCACTAAACCTGCTGCCAGTTGAAACCTTCATGGGGAAAATGAGATTGAAGTCTGACCTGCTGAAGATGGATGCCCTGTCTCTGTTTTTATTTTATTTTGCTTTCCTTTGTTTCTTTTATATTCCCCTTTTTTTGTTTTGGTTTGGAATGCATTTAGGCATCTAAATTCAACAGATGAGCACATTGCGTCAGACTGAAATAGTGAAAAATATATCAGTTTTAAGATGCATTAGTATTCACAGTGTTTCATTTTGAAGTTGACCTGAAGCTGCTTATGAATGGTGGATGGTATACACAGAATTTAGAATATGATTTATTTTTATGCTGTGAATTATGGGTAAATTTTATTTGAAATATGTTTAAGCATCCAAATTCAACAGATGAGCACATCATGTGTCAGAAGGCAGGAATATCGGAAAATGTATCAGTTTTAGATACATTCTTTCATGTATTATGCTTTATGAGTTTGTCTTGGGAGAGGACAGGTGAAACTTCTGGAGAAATGAACTTTACGAAGTAAAGTAATGATCTTTTTCTGCTTTTTTTTTCTCTTATCAGCAGAGTAGTTTTAGGTTGCATGGTCTGTTAGAAAAAAAGGCTTACTATGTATGTCTAACATGAAGAGTTTAATTGAACTTTCATGAATATTGAATATCATGAAGTACTTGTTTGCTTCTGATGAAATCTTGCTCCAGTGAGGTCAGTGGCAGTAAGATTTCATCCTTTTGTTTTTGTAATTTTCAGAAAAAACTGTTTACCACTCATAAGTACAAATGCAGCCTGAAGTTCTGGTTAAAATGTGTTATGTGAGGCACATTGTCTTTTAACACTGTTATTTGTGGGAAGATTGAACCAGTTCTCTGTGTGTGTATGTATGTGTATTTTACACTGTGACAAGCTATAGTGGTGGTTATTTCAAAAAGAGGGGTTTTTTTTGTTGTGGTTTTGTTTTTTTTTGTTAAATGTCTTTGTGGTCATCTCACAATCTCTGGCAATTCATGCTGGAGTGATTGAGAAGGTTCTCATTCCTAAAAGATGATCTTAACTACTGGTGAAACAGAAGCCTTGGAGGAGAAGTGGTGAGCCAGGTGGTGTGTCTAGTTCTCAGGCATTGTTCTTCCCAGCCAGCTGCTTTGGGACCAGTTAGTTTCACTCTGGTAATGCACCAGGCAGTGCACTACAGCTGGGAGGAGCTTTGCTTCGTGATGGTAGTTGGATTTAACCATGGCAGTTGAGATAATTGCCAGTAGGTGTAATGTGTTTAATGACTGCTCCTAAATCCAGTAAGAATCATTAATTGGGATCAGACAAATTATTACATTTGAAAGTGTGCATTTTCTATTGATTTAACATAGCAGGAAAACAGCAGCATCTTTGTTTATATTACATGTGAAATGTAAGTATTTTTAAAATGAGCAAATGTACTTATTGCAGAAACAGTTTTGACAGGAAGGATTGACTGTACATTTTCAGTACAAAGAGTAGGAAATTAATTTCTTCCGAGCACCGAGGGGGATAGAAATACTGTTGATTAGTACTCACTTAATTCAGATGCTTCTATTCATCATTTAGCAAAATGGATTCTGAATGAACTAGTTTGACTAGGGCTTCTAAGCACTTTGATGATACAAGAAAGTAACAACCATAACTGATATTTAGGACATGTGTGTATTTCCTAAGAAGCGTAAGATGTCCCTAGGCAATGCAGAGCTGATCTAGATCTGCTTCCATATTCTTTTACAAAGTGAAGAATCAATAAATAAATTATCACAGAATCTGGAATTTGCTAAACATGAGCCTCTAAGAAATCTTTCTAAGGATGTGGTATGGATGTGGTGTATTTGTTTTATTTGTATCCCTCCTTAGAAAAGCAGTCTCTTTACCTTTTTTCCGCTGAACCTTTAAATAGCATGAGTTTAAACAATGAAACAGTTACTCTTAAGCTAGCATTCTAATTAGTCGTGTCACAACCCACATATTTTATTGTAGCTTAAAGCCTGTTATTTGGTGTTACGTATGGATCTGTTTTTCAAATGTGTATAAAGAACAGGGAAGTAAATTTGCAAGGTATTTTAGGTAATCTTTTTTACCCACTACAGTTTGTTTTCTGTAAAATTACTGAAAGGTTTGAGCTGGTCTTAAAAGCAGGAGAATTCTTGAAAATGTAGTATCTTTCAAGTATACAAGCAAATTTCCAGGGTTCTGTCTGTAAAGATAGAGCATTTCTCATTTTTTAATAAAATCAATGAATTGTGGCATGCAACTGACCAACTGTTTAGAAATGATGTTGCTACCTTTACAGTTTAGATACTCATTCTTTGAACTGCTGTAATGGTGCACTTAACTGAAAGTGTTCAGTGGATTCCTCAAACAACATTTGAGCAGATTAATTTCAATTATTTCAGTACGATAACCCATATACTTAAAGTTTAGGCTTGTATATAAGTACTTTTCTGAACCTGACTCATCATGTGTAGCTCAGTTCTTGTTTAGAAGGGCTAAATGTCTAAGCATTTCTTAAGTTTATCTAATTAAGAGTATGTTGAATCGGCTGTATGTAAGCGCATATGTAACCTATGTGTATACTTGTGTGCGTTACTGACAAGGATCTAAACTAGAATGCAGACACACCACTTGAGGAGCCATTTCTGCCATTGGCTTTACTTGAGCCATGTCTTGATCCTATGGAAACCTGCATGAGTATATAGTTAATTGCGAGGTGCAAGCTGTTGTTGATAAGGTCTGGTTCATTAGTCATTTGGAAAACGTATTTCAATTTTTGAAAGAACTGATGCATAATTCTATGCCTAATTTGCATGCACAACTGCTGTAACAGTATACTCAAAAGCCTGTTAGCTGCGGTATTAGGCAGGATGTGCAGTAGAGTACCTGGTACTCATGAGCAGTCAGGCAAATCAGGTACACTTTAATTGCATGCCTGACTTCAAAATGACATCTGTAAAGAGTGCTGGACATTGTGATGATGACTCAGATTGATGCATGTTTTCTAAAAAGCCCTGGCCATCATTATTGCACAGTTAATTCCTAAGTGCTAATAATTTTCCTATTTTTCTCCTTTAGATAGCAAAATCATGGTTTGTTACATGTTAAGGAGAAAGGTGCTTCAAAATTTAACATAAATAAAATTTTAATAGGAAGCATGAGAAAATAAATGGATACTGTTCTCTTATTTTTTCTGTTCCACCCATGATACATATAAACTAAAGTTTCCATTAGATTTGTTTTATCCTTTAGTCATATCTGACTCTACCCCAGTCCTTTAGAACAGGTTTGCAACACACTTTTTCTTTTTTTGAAGTAGTAAATTTCCTATGGGGTCTGTTGAAACTCATATAGCTAAAACTGCACAGTGTTTTGAAACTTACCTCATATTTTGCTTTTGGTAATTTTAAAAAATTTTTAATGCCGAAGTTAGAGATTTTATAGTTAAAATGTACATAGTTTCAGCCAAAGCAGTAAAAGCTGCTGGTATTTGTACTGCTTTTAAAACAATATTTAAATTAAAAAAAATACTTTCTCAAAGTGCGTGGGGTAATACCAGTTGGGTAGCATACGTGCCCATAATTTTTGATAGCTACATAGATGCCTACTATACTATAGTAAGGAACTTTTCTGTAGTTTTTCAGTTCAGCGTTTAATGTTTGTGCCAGTTTAAATCCCTGTGCATTTCAAATTTGATATCTACATATAATTGCTTAACTATTGAATCTTTTTATTTTTAAAGATTTTGGGGTGTTCATTTAGCAGTCCAGTTGTGATAATCTTGAACGAAACCTGCATTTAATTGAGAATGCATATTACTTAAACTTCTGGCATGGCAAGGGGCGTATTAATCTGGTTGAAATAGCAGGAAATACATACTTGGGGAAAATACAGCTTTCTTAGCTGCTCAGTTATGATTTTTTTCAATCTCAGTAAATTTAAAGCTAATCTATTGAAGTTTTAGATAAACTGAGGTTACCTAGAATTTGAGACAGTATGAATCTAAAGCTTTCTGCCCTCCCTCCTCCACCTCCAACTTTGCTTGCAGTATGTATTGTGTAGAGTCACTGTAGTTCACTAGCTTACTTATTTTTGCATCCAAAGTAGGTAGCACCAGAGGAATAAAAAGCACAGATTTCAGTTAGCACATACTTTGTTTTTTCTTTCTTTTTCTTTTTTTTTTTTTCTTTTACTGATTTGGTTATTTGCCATTTCTGGGGATTAAACTTTAAAAAATGTTCTTCTTTTCTGTATCTGATGTTCTGTGTGCTATTAGTGATGCAGCCAACACGAACGGTTGTCATGTGTAAAACAACTTTCGATCACCGTGAAAACACCGCCCTGGGAAAGCGTCCATGCTTGATATCGTTTGGTTCATGAACATTAAGTTTCCAGTACAGGTGACCCATAGCTCAAAGTGTTAAATAATTGTATACATTATTCAGTTTTTAAAATAATGATCCATTAATGAGATTGCTAGTCTTTGAAGTTTTGCTCACTTTTGTTTTTCCTAGTAGAGCAGGGTAAAAGGAAAAACTTAAGTTCTTGTTTCTTTGTAAGGATCTGGTAGATAGATTCATTGTTATTTATTACATTTTAAAATGCAAAGGTAATTATAAAATCATAGAAAGAGTAACATCTGCGTAGTGTTCCAACTCTGTGTAATGCTTTGATTTCCTTCTTCAGGTAAAATACCGGATGAAGCTAAAGCCCTTTCTCTCTTGGCTCCTGCTCCTACTATGACAAGCCTGATGCCTGGTGCAGGGTTGCTTCCTATACCTACTCCAACCCCTTTGACTACAGTAAGTAAAATTCAATCATTGTTTGGTATCTGCTTTCCTCTATAGTTGGTAGCCTTTTCTTTGTTTAGAGAATAAGAACTATCTGATCCATGCGTTTTGGCCTCTTGGTATGCTAGATCAATGAGTGTTTAGCTGTGGTACCTCTTCTCAGGGTAGGTAACAAGATGTCCAGTGCACTGCCTTTCCTGAGGTTTGATTTCAGGTTATTATTTTGCAATGTAGTGGGTAAATACTAATTTTGATTGTCTACATTTTAATTGTTGCCCTTCCATAGACCACATTATTTGGTCCAGTGGCAGTGCTACCCACCTCCTAAAAATTTTTTAGGAGGTCAATTTAGGTCACCTGTCTGGTATTCTTCCCCCCACCAAGGGTTGCAGGTGTGACCCATTTTCCTCCCTTTTTCTTCCAGCACACAAGAAGTTTAGCAGAACTAGGTAGTGACTGTTCTGCAGCAGTAGCTGTAAACATCGAGCATTATCAGTCCTAGAAGCAGACACTGACTGAAAAAAAAGTTGTCAATTTCAGAAAGTGTGGTTACTGAAAGTAAAATTTACTAGAAAGAAAATTGGTTCTGTCCTGGCTCAGAGCATGACAACATAACTATTATGTTGACACAGTTCTTTGAAATATTCAATATTTGAAGGCTGCATTGTCCTCATCCTGTAGGAAGTGATGGTGTTTGTAGAGAAAGAACTTAAACTTATTATCCTTCACATTTCAACAGCGATTAATCTTGCCTTATGTGACGTGTTTGTCCAAAAGAGGTACCTTTTCTGTCCCTTTGAAGGCCTGATATCTGTTACAAAAATTATTGTCCCTGAGTACTGTAAATTCTCTTCTTGCCTTGCTCATGAAGGGCTTAGCAGTTCCTCATCTGGTTCTTGTGACAAAAAAAAATATATATTAGCAGTGTCTGGAGACATCTTAGTCAATTTAATTGACTGCAAGCATTAGAAATTCAAGCCTGTATGTTTTCTGATTCATATATTGCATCCCTGTCTAGACATCTTTGATGAGATATTAGCTGATAGCCCACAGAAAATCTTAACAGTAGAAGGTTATTTATGGCTAGATTTATATTCCTTAAAAAAAAAGTACTTGGCTAGGACCTTGAAATTTAAATTATTGCCTGTATTCATTAGGTTTATGTTTTACAGAAATACGCAAGGCAGGCAAGTATTAACAAGTAAAGTGTCTCCCACTAATACTTGGTTGAAAAGAATGTTCTGGTTTTGTGTTTTCCAGCTTGGTGTTTCTCTTGGCACTTTGGGGGCTATACCTGCAGCAGCTTTGGACCCTAACATTACGGCACTGGGAGAAATACCGCAACCACCAATTATGGGGAATGTGGATCCATCCAAAATTGATGAAATCAGGAGAACAGTCTATGTTGGAAACTTGAATTCCCAGGTAGCGTTTTTTGTGTAATGGGAATACTAATTCAAAGTGTAGAGCTGCAATTTGAGTTGTACTTTTACATTTAAGAGGTTTTTTTAGTTGATGGCAATAGGAATTTAAACAAAAACTAAATTACTCTTTTTGGTTATTAGTATATTTTGATTTTTTTTGAATGCTCTTGTGCCAGTCAGATCAGACCAGACTGCGGAATTCATTCTGGCAGGATTCCAAAAGAGTCATACTGTAGCTGAATTCAAGCTACATATGATTGTGTGTGTTGATCAAATACCCAGTTGGGTTATATTAACTGAGCAAGGCCTTAGAAGTTAGGAGAGAACAGCAGCTGTCCCCCACAGCACTGTGCAGTTACTTAAGTGCAGTAAGCTGGAATGATGTGTCCCAGTAGAAGTTGCAAAATTAACATGGGTACCATTGAGTTTTCAATAATGTGAAGGATAGGTCTTTCAGAAATTTGTTTTTTCAGTAGTCAATTGAATTAGTTGAAAAATAATTTCTCTCTGATGCCAATATAAATCTTTCATTTTGCTTTTTGACTGCTACGGTAGGTACTAGAGTGTAAAAGTGCTATTGATGGTGATAAATTAAAACAAGCTGGAAGCTAGTTCAAAACCAGATAAAAGCTATGTCTTGTAGTCTTGCTTGAATTTTTTTAATTGATCAAAATTCACAGTCAAAAACTTGGACACAGGTAGAAATAAATTCTTCATCAATTATTTTAAGTAAGTTTGCTGACAAGTGCAAAATCCCATGCAAATGCTTTTTGAACTGAAATGGAGTTCAGGGCTTGTAGCTGCACTATTTTAATTTGTAGTATAGTCTTTAGATTAACGGAAGAAAAAATACTTGTCTTTCCTGAAGTGTAGCATTACCAAATTCATGTTGTCTGTGTAATAGTGGTGATGTGTCTTTCCAGAATATGTAGCTCTTATATTAGCTGATATTTGATAAGTGGTTTTCAATATATATTTTACTTCAGCTGAGCTCTTCAACTCTTTCTAGACTACAACAGCAGATCAGTTGCTTGAATTCTTTAAGCAAGTTGGAGAAGTCAAATTTGTGCGAATGGCAGGTGATGAGACACAACCAACACGATTTGCTTTTGTGGAATTTGCAGACCAAAACTCTGTACCTCGTGCTCTTGCCTTTAATGGAGTTATGTTTGGAGACAGGCCACTGAAGTAAGAAATTAATTCTCTGTATAAGTGTTGATGAGATATTTCTTTGTGTCCTTATACATTTATGACTCTGATATGTAGGAAGCTGCTGTGATTAATATTATTCAATGTAAGAATCTATTGTTAGTAACCTGGAACATTTTTATAAGCTCCTACTTCAAGGTTGGTAATAACTTTCTCTGAGAATCCAATATATTTATATTTAATCCTGAGGTAGTGGAAGATGTCATAGCGATATAATCTGTAAAGTCCTTAGTGTTAATTAAGCTTTCTGTTGTGCCATGTTTCTTTAAAAGTGGTAACACTTGAAAGCAATAAAAGACATTTCAGATACTTAGATGAACGTTAGGAGAAATCTGTAGTTCTGCTGATCTTTGAGGTTCTTAAATTGTACATGGCATCTGAGGTGTTTCCCATTCACAGTTGTTTTCCATTTCCCTTTTTAAGTGTTTGGGAGTTACAGGTTTTACGTTTCCTTAATTTAGAATAAATCACTCCAATAATGCAATAGTGAAGCCTCCTGAAATGACACCACAAGCTGCTGCCAAGGAACTGGAAGAAGTAATGAAGAGAGTAAGGGAAGCCCAGTCTTTCATATCTGCTGCTATTGAGCCAGGTAAGTATATTATTCTCATTATCTAACAGGCATATTCTGTGTGTGTACCTTGACCTACACTTTTAAGAGCATTTTCAAACACAGGAAAAGGGTACTCAAGTGTGTTTTGGGAAATAAGTATTGGGAAAAAAAAGAAATAATCAGAATTGTGTTAGTGCTACCAAATAGTGGAATGAAGCTGGCTTTATTTCATTGTGTTTTTATTTTAAGATACATGCTCACTGTTTTAAAAAATACAAAGTTAATTCTAAATACTTAATGTTGGTGCTTTTCAAGCTCAGAGTACTTAAAAACTTTTAAAAGAAAATTCTCTATATTTTGCTTTATTCTCTACTTGCACCCATTAATGCCATAGTTTTATAATGAGAGGGAGCTAACATGGTTCTGAAAGCAGTGATACTGTGCTTTCCTTATCTGCAGTAGGTTGATTTGGCCCTGTGCTGTTCTTTTTTTCAGTGGCTCAAGACTATGTTCATCCTCATAGCAAATGGGGTCAGAGAATGAATGTGGGATAAAATGAACACATTAAAAAGCACTCTCTTTCATCCAGATTGGTTCCCTGATCCCTGTTAACACTGAGATGCCAGGCCAAGGAGGAAGGTGGTTGTTAGGCTGAGAAGTCAGTGCTGATTTTTGCTGACTTAAACTACAAAACTACAGGAAAAAAAATCTCAACTTGTTAAACTTGTAGTTGAGATCCTCCTTTTTCTTTTCATCAGTGAGATTCTGGCATTCTTCTTACTAACAAGTCCAGATGTTGTCTTACAAAGGTTAGATAGTGTGTAATCTTAGGGGGGTGGATGAGTATCTTCTGTTGTTTCTTAGGTTTGGAAGAAAAATAGCTCTAACACTTCCTCAATGGTAAGCAGCAGAATAACAGTATTTTTAGAGTCTGAACCGAAGTCTGGTGAGGTTACTGGTAAGATTTCTGAGGACTTCCTGGCCTTCGGATCAAACTTTTCACCCTGTTCTCTCCATCCCTTCCTCCTCTAAAACAGTGTTTGAAGAGTAGAAATTAAATACTTGTACAGAGGTTGAAATATCTAGAAGTATAGAAAGTATTAATTATTATTTACATTTTATGCTTGCTTTCAAAACTATGCCCTCTAAATTTACTCTCTTCTCAGGTTATTAAAAAAAAAAGTCATTAAGTTAAATAGTAGATGGAGAGAAGAACATGTTGTGATATTGTGCATTGTGGCAGCAACATAAATCCCATTCCTTATAGAGCTAGCTGTTTATAATTATCTGGTTTATGTGTACTGCTGCAGGATGGCTGCACTCAACGAGTATATGCAATGACTTTCTTGGATGTTTCTGAAGGATATTTGCAAAGAAGGAAGATATGCAAAGAGTAGGCCCCTTGCACTATATGTGGTACATTCCACTTGTGCCAGATTGTTAACTGGGATCTTTAAATGTTCTGAGCTCACACTGCAAAGTGGTTTTTTCCTCTCAGAGTCTGGAAAGAGCAGTGAAAGAAAAGGCGGTCGATCTCGTTCCCATTCTCGTTCAGAATCCAGGTCTAGCTCAAAATCCCGATCTAGAAGGAAAAGATCACACTCAAAACACAGGTAGGTATACTTTTTTTTTTTTTGGACTAAGATGATACTGGATTTTTTTTGAGTGGTTCTGCTTACTGAGTATTCTTACTGACTTACAAGACAAGTATCCCTGTGGAAAAGATTACTAACTTACACTTACACTGGGCAAATCAGAGTAACCAGGAATTTAGTCTCTGAAATAGTGTTACCTTCTAAATGCTAATTGTTTTCAGTATTACTCTCAGTTAAATCACACTTTTGTGCCATGTAGCAGAATCATTTCAAAGGTTTCATGGGTACATTTTCTGCCACATAGTGTAGTATCAATTTCTGACTTGTATTTGAAAAAAAGTTATCTGTATTTTATGAATCAAATGTCATTTATTGTTAACACTCTGAGCAGATAGATTAGCTGGTTTGGCTAGTAGAGAGTTCCTAGTATCCTGAACTTCTAAATACCAAGTTAACAAATGCAGTGTTTTTATTTACTGTACTGTAAATATAAAGCTGTATGTTTTAAAAGCAGAAGAAAAAGGCTTTGGGCACTTTATTCTTCTTCAGATCTTGTTTACTTTGCTAAGTGTGGTCAGTTGTAAAACAGGCTTTGGAATATGGGAGGAAATGGTTGCCCTTAAAGTTTCCCCATTAAGATTTTTTTTTCCAAGAATGAGACAGTCTTGCCATATGAGACAAATGCTTCCTGAAATAAATCAGATTTTTTCAACATGAGGAATCACACTACAGATATTTTGTTAAGTGTATAAAAAGAAATTCAGAATGTATTTGATAGCTTACACTTTAAAGAGGTTAGTGTTGCCAGTGGTGCATCAGCAGCTCTATTGCATCCTTTCATACATGATCTTTTAATAAGGCAACTAGAATTCTTTTAGCTGGCCAAAGGGAGTTACCAGTTACATTACCAAACAAATGTAAGTGCAGGTTTCAGTTATGCAATAGCAAGATATTACAGTATGTGATATCTAATGACAAAAAATACTAGGTTCCTTTTTAATGGTAAAAGAATCACTTGGTCACTTGCTTATTGCTTGCAAAACAACCTTCATTTCATATAACACTGCAGTACTCTTAGTACTGTTTTATATTGACACAAACCAAATTTATTTTTATAAGATAAACTTTATTTGTCTTTTACATATGGGAAACCTCTGCTTTAAACAACTGTTTATGGTTAGATTTTGGGTTAGTTGTTTTTGGGTTTTTTATTACTTAACCACTGCTGCTGTCAGTTTGAGTATGAGGGAATATGCTGAAAAAAAACACCAATCTGATCTACTGAGGCAATGTCAGAATAATGTAAGAATAAACTGTTCTTAGGATTTCCCTGTTTTATTGGAACTTACATAATTTTTGTCTCTGTGATGTATTTCATGTCTTTTCAACTCAATTGTAAACTATTTGCCCTATAGTTTTTCTTTCTGTGGTGGTAAGTGAAGCAAAGCTGTAGGTAAAAAATGATTGCCTCTCCTATTGGTATAAATTACTCTGTGTGTCTTGAGCTGCAGAAGACAGGTGGAGCTGTTATTTTTTGTACCTCCCTGTTCTTCAGGATTTATTGAGTAATGCATATGGCTTTTCTATCTTTGGTAAGTTAAACTTCATGGTACCTTAACCTCTCAGGCAAAATATCCAGAGGTATGTTTGTTTCAGACTTAATGTTCAAATTCAGCTTTTTGTTTTTGCTTTCACAGGGAGTGTTATCTTCCAAAAACATGGAATATTTTTGAAAAAAAGAATATAGTAATTTTTACAAGCTGTGTTCTTTTTCTCGAATTTGCAACTATACTGTGTGTATTTATCAGAAGACCTTAATTCAATTTTTATCAGAGTATCTTCATCTTATCTGCATTCCTTACTTATCATGCATTAAATGCTTGTTTATTCCCTGGTAAATCTTACTATTGAAATACATGCTAACAAATCCTTTAACCTGAAAAGATAGCCTGATCAAATGCTGAACCACAGATAGTGTTTTGTTTTGTAGTTTTGTTCATTTGTTGTTTAAAGTTCTTTTAAATTGTAAAGCTGGAAAACAAAGCAAAAAGATGAGCTAAAGCCATCTTTTTTCACTGACCAAATGCAACAAGTGACTGGGCCTGGGAAATAAGCAAAAGATAGCTAATTCTTTTTACAAGCTGCTAAAAAGATCTATGGTACATTTTATGTGCTGTAATTTATTAAGGACAGCTACCCTAGTATGGCGTGAATGTATATTTTCCAGAATATTCATGGAGATTATGATGAAACATAAGTATTACCTAAATGGTGCATTATTTTCAAAGGAAGGCACGTGTACCTGGTGGAGCATAAATTATCTATATGTACTAAATGTTGGTTGACAGTATATTACTGAGGTGTAGCTCTTTATATAATTTTATGTAGTGACGCAAGATTTATGTCTTTTTTTCTTCTGTTGTTTGACCTAATTTTTATGTAGTTTCAATATTGTATTTTTCTTCTGGCATTGTTTATTTAGAAGTAGATCTGGCAACAGATCACTCTCAAGACACAAGGACAGACACAGATCGAGAAGTCCCCTGAAAAAGCGGTCTAGATCTAGGGAAAGACGGAAATCAAGAAGTCGCTCTCGTTCTCGGTGAGTTTGGTTCCTAAGAAATTATACTTTTTTTCTTAGCAGTACACAGTACGAAGTTTTTCAAAAAGTCTAGCAAGCCTTCTATGTGATGGTAAAGGGTGGGATGTCAAAATGCTTTAGCTGGTCCATAGTCTTCATCTATGGGGCAAAAGTATAGAAAGGAAATTTTAATGCTGAGTAGGATAGAATTATTTTTTTTCATAATAGCTAATGTGGTGCCTATGGAGGTTAAATCACCACATTGAGGTATCTAAACTTTGATAGTGTAGTCTGCATTTCTGCCGGTGTGCAAGCTGACTGAAAATAGGTGCCTGACTTTAGAACAGTAGATTAGGATTGTTCTGTATAGCTTCTGCAACCCAGGAAAAAGTGGATGATGCTTGTTCAGTCTTCATCTGTTGACAAGGTTAGATTCAGGCTGGGTTTGATCCAGCGTTATGAGGACATGTATAAGGTTTTTGTGCATGACTTTTGCGTTTGTCTTTGGCTATCCATATTTGCTGTACACTGCTGAAGGCATAAATGCATGTGTCTGTCATCTGGCGTATTTGCATTCCAGGATCTAATACATCTATATTTTACCTAGTCTATTACTTTTTAAGTCTGATTGTTTAACTGTTGAACTGTGAAATTCCAACAAGATAATAATATAATTTTATGAGGGATGAAGTAGTGAATATTCACAAAATGGAGGTGCCTGTGCAATTAGATTAATAGAAGTCTTGGTTTCTCTGTTTCATCTCTCTAATTCCCCTCTTTCTTTTAAAGGGGGCTTCCTACTTATGTTGTGCAGTTGCCTCTTGTTTCTTGACAGAACAAGTTTTGTGAGAAAGAGAGCTGCAGATCTGTGGACATCTGTGGAGACAGGAATAGGCTACTTAGGTAGCTGGGCTGTAATTGATAGATCCTCTTGATTCTCTTTTGCTGTATGGAGCTTCTTGAGGTATCTGCTCACTGAAAGGGACAAGTCCAATGAAATCTCTATGACAAATTTGTGGGAAGACATTTCTTGGGTCATTATGAGACTTTGCGGTTGCAGGGACTACATCTTGTATCATCTATGATCTTACATTACTTCTCTGAGACTTCTAAATAGGTCTTTACCAAAACTTGTTGGGAAGGAAAGTTCTCGGATCATAGAGCAGCTAACTATTTATTAGCAGTTGAGGAGAAGACACAGCCAAACACTTCTTCTGGTGAAGAAAGGTGGCTGTGCTGAAGATCTTTCATGGGTGAACAAGTCTCTTTGAGAATCTTTAAAAATCCTAAAATAAGTAGTAATATCAGCAGACAGCAACTTCTGTCTGTATGATTCTCTTGGACATCTAAAGGCTTACTGATCAGCTTCTCTTGTGTTTTCTCCTGTTTCTCTGAAAAATTTGTTCATGACCTAGAGGCAGGTCTTGGAGTGTGTGTCTCTCTTCTAGAAAGGAAGGGTGGAGTCTCACACTTCCAAGTAATCCTGAACCAAAATGTAATCTTCCAGCCAGAGCTGTGATCTAAGCAAATTTTGTTTGGCTTGATGACTAGAACATCAGGTGGAATTTTCCACAGTGTTCTTTTTATGAACATGTGTAATTCTGCCTGTCCCAAAGAAACTTGTTTGGTTCTGATACCCTTGTTTCTCTTTTTACTGGTTTAACAACTCTTCAATAATTAATAAATTCCTAATGATGTAACACAGGATTGAATTGTCTTGAGTTTTGATGTTACATATGCCTTTTGAGGGAATTTGTTTGGTGCCATTTAATCCCTGTTTTTTTTTTAAATTATTATTTTCATGTATTAATTGTTGTGGGAATGCCAAGCAGTTCCAGGATATCTGTGTGACAGAACACTGTCAGTCAGCTGTCATTATTCATGGAGAGTGGTTAATCTACAGTCCATTTTATATGGACACACTTTTATTAAAGAATGGACTTATCTCACTCCTAGCAAAATGTAAAAGATTTATATATGTTAATAACAGTGAGGGGAAGAGATTCTCTGTGTGATGACGTCACTCTAAAGGTCACAGTTGTGTTTGATTTTGGCCTCCCTTTCTCTAATTTGGCTTTCAAATTTTCTGGCTATATAACCTTTCCCTAGTGGTGAGCAGGGGTGGAAAATTAAAATACTGATTGATTACTAGTTTTCATCAAAGACCTCTCCTATCTTGAGCAATTATTGTCTGCTAAGGAGTTAGTTGTAGTTTTAATTGGGAAGTGCAAAGGTTAATTAATGGATTTGTGTTTGGCTTTTCACAGGGACAAGAAAAGAGACAAAGAAAAGGTCAAGGAAAAAGAAAAGGCCAAAGAAAAGGATAAGGAGAGAGACCGAGACAAGGATAAGGAGAGAGACCGAGATAAAGACAGGGAAAAGATAGATTTTTCTGAGAGAGAGATAAAGAACGAAACAAAGATCGAGAGAGAGTCAGAGACAAAGAAAGGGATAGGGACAGGGATAAGGATAAAGACAAGGAAAAGGAGAAAGATAAGGAGAAGGAAAAAGACAGGGAAGAGGTAGATCAGAACAAAGAAAAAGAAGATATTGAGAAAGAAGGAGAGAAGGACAGAGAGAAGATAAAGGACAAGGAGGGTGAGAAGGAAAAAGATGGGGATAAGGAGAAGGAGCGAGAAAAAGAGAGAGATGATAAAAAGAAGAAAGAGAAGAGATCCAGAACACCCCCAAGAAGCTATAGCTCTTCAAGAAGATCTCGTAGCTCCAGCAGGTTTGTTTAGAATTTTTTTATGTTTTTTTCGACTTGCGAGTTCAGGAAGGCACCATCCTAGTTCTTCTGTATTGGTATCACAATGTCTATTACTAATTAAATTTTTATTAGTTCTGTTTTGTAGATTTTCCTCTGAAGTAAAATCTATTACAAAGACCTCTCTGTGATACCTAGTAGAACATACTTTCTTTTGGGGCTGTTGGTGCTTGCTTTTCATGTAACTATGTAGTAGAGTCCCTGAGGACAGTAAGTACATCATTCTTATGCCATTTCTCTGTGTTAGAACCATTCAAAACTTCTGATTAAGTGACATCATACATCAGCTTTCTCCTGATGAAAGTTCAAGTTACTGTTACATAGTTCCTTGGTTACTTACGTAGTGTGCAGTGTTGGTCTGTACATTATAGGAACAATTGAGTGGTAGTACTTGCCACTTGAGCTGGATGGCTGAACAACAGGAAGTGATCATGTTAGCTGTTCAGAAGGTGAATGTATCTCAGTTGGAGGATAAGGATACCTTGTTTATCTGGTTAAGTGGCCAGGTATAAACAAAAGGTGGGATTTCTTGAGGATACAGGTAGTGAAAAAGGAAAGCATTCAAATTAATGTAGTTGTTGTTGCCTCAGGGTGAGGCTAAAGTGGCTGGAAGTCTGGATAAATTCAGTACAGCAAAAGGAGGCTGTGAGGTTGATTATAAGCTCTGTAAGTGGACTAACTCACGCATATTCTAAAAGTGTTGCAGCTAACTTAGGTTCAGAAGTGTTGGTTGAAACAACACAGTATACAGAGTATACAAAACTGGAGGGAGAGGATTACACCCCAGAGGAGTGTGCTGCCATTCAGAGAAACCTTGAAAGACAGGAAAAATGAGTTGGCAGGCATCTCATGTTGTTGAACAAAGGGAAAGGCTAAGTCTGCATCCTGGCAGGAGTAAGTCCATTGCATCACTACAGCCTATGTGCTGGCTGGCAGAAAAGGACCTAGTGGTCCATGCAGCCAAAAAGGCCAGCAGTATGCTGAGCTGCATTAGACAGTGTGTTGCAAGTGGGTCAAGGAAGATGATTCTTTCCCTCCTCTCAGCACTTCTGAGGCCACATCTGGACTCCTGTGTCCAGTTCTGGGCTCCCTATTACATGAGACACACACAAGAACTGGAGTGAGTCTAGTGAAAGTCCATGAAACTGGTAAAGGGCTCGGAGCATCCATCATACAAGGAGAGACTGAGGGAGCTGGGATTGCTTAGCCTGGAGAAGAGAAGGCTGAGGGGGGAATATTATCAGTGTGTATAAATAGGAGAACATGAAGAAAAGGGAGCGATACTTCTCAGTGGGGGCCAATGACAGGCTAAGACACAGTAGGTGCATATTGACATATGACAAATTAAGGCTTTTTACTAATGCTTGTATTGTGTTTTTTTCTGTGCAAACTGGAACTACTTACCTGAGAGACTGTGGAGTTTGCATCCATGGAAATACTAAAAATGTGGCACTGAGGAGCCTGCTTTAGTTCACCTTGTTTTAAGGGGGGGGGGGGGGGAGAGAGGTTGGACTAGATGGTCTCCAGAGGGCTCTTTCAACTTCAGTAATTCTCTTCATTGTCTGAAAAGTGCATAGATTGGCCACCAACTCCCAGTTACCTTGCATTATGGGTATCTGTTTAATTTAGTGATCGGTGTTGCGTAGTTGAAATAGTTAAACCTTTCATGAGAATATTATCCAATAAACTGTCACTGCAGCTGCCAGGATTTACAGTGCAGCACTGAATGGAACTGCTGATCCTTTACCTGAAGAGTGTAGAATACTGGGTAAATAGTCATCTTTTTTGAGAAGGTGAAAGTACAATAGGATATAAAGGACCTTTTAAGAACTAAATGGCAACTGATCTTGCTTTACTGACAGACAGCATGAGAGTCCTAGAAATCAGATGGTTATTTGTGATTCCTAGCTTATGGTACACATATAAGAGCAGAGTAGGATCTGGGTCCTTATCCAACAGACATCTACAAGCTAGCAGAGGAGATAGGTATGGAATGTTAGTTCTATGTACAATTAGGAGACACAGGACCACTACCAAAATGTTCAGATTTGTTTTTTCTTCAATTTTACTTTATTGCCTAAGAGTGTTAAAAATAGGGGCACAAAAACCTTTGCCATAGACAACAGAGATGGTAGCAAATAATATCAGACACAGTTGTAGTTCTTCACCTTGAAATATGACAAAGAAAAAGCAGAAACTGAAAATTGAAATTAGGTTTCATTAATAACTAGTTTCTAGTTTGGACACAATTACTAAGGAACTTCATTACTCACAGATATGTACGTTGGAAAACAAAAGAAAGTGGGGATATACTACTCAATGTAGCATAAACATTGTCAGTGTATCAAAAAGTGGTGATATATGTGAAGATGATAAAAAAACAGATGCATAATAAATAGTGAACAACTGTTCAGTGATTGTGTTAGGTTCTCCATTATTTTAAAACCACTTTGGTTTTGTTCACCAAAGATTGGATCAAACTTAAGAACTTGCTGAAGAAAATAGTTCTGAAATCTCATACTGTTCAGCTTCAGGATAGAGACATTGTAGATTATGTTGTCAGAATATTAATCCAGATAATTATATGAGGCATATCTTGATATATTCTTTTATAATTTATCTAATAACTGTTGATTTCTTGACCCTTCTAAATATTGAAGATATAAATATTCTCAACTAATGTTGTGAATTGCAAAAGCTGACATTCCTAATTGTGGCTTTTCCACCATATCTTGAAATGCCCTTGAGAATTGTATTTTGACTTCCATTTTTCTGTGATGGTTCTTCCTGTCTACTTTTCCTGTTCTGTGAAGAGGTGATAGGTTCTGTGTTGATGTTGAATGAAGCTTTATTATCTCAGTTTTTGCTTTATTTTACCTTGTGCCTCAGTACATTTGCAACTAGTTAATGTTAACTATTTAATGTTTTATTGTTCTGGAGTCTGAAGAAGAACTTAAGCAAATTCTATATGTGTATATATAGCAGCTGGTTTATAAAATATTAGGAGCTCTTCAGTATGTTACAGAATGATAACACTGCTGAGCAAGGAGTGCTGGGAAAAGAATAGTTATTAACTTACTCTGATTTTGACAACAGCTTGATTTTCATTTTGCACTGTTGGCTTCTAAACCAATAGGAATGCTAGCTCCTGTATTTAGGAATGAAACTTCAGTTATTCTGAACTGAAATTAGTGATCTTCAGGTTGTTACATGTTGAAGTTAGCATTGCTCAAGTTATGCCTTTTGTCTTAATGTGGCTCTTTGTTCAAAAAGGTTCTTTTCCTGACTGAAGAAGCTCTTACATTAATAAAGGATTAGTGAATTCAATGTGTCTCCGTTTTTATCAGGTTTAAGTAACTAGTTATAAACAAAAAAACTAAAATCTGAAAGGGCACAAAGTTTTTTCCTACTTCCAGCTTCCCCTTTCCCACCAAACTGAAACATACTACATTTTTGTTTGCTCTGATGAATTAATATATTGTTGGTGATGCTTAAATTCAGGGATATTTACTTAGTGGTTTTGTCAGATCATTTTAAGAGCTTTCTCTTTTTAGCTGGTTTCTGAGTTTCTTTTAGTCTTTGATCTTGAATGTCTTTGTCCTTTAGAGAAAGACGTAAAAGGAAGAGTAGAAGTCCATCCAAGTCTCCTAAAACATCCAAAACAGCAAAAAGAAAGTCTTCACGAACTCCTTCTCCAAGAAGGTCAGTTTGATGGAAAGATAAGAGTTAATGAGCAGTAAAGGAGGAAGAATTTAGAGTATTTTTGTTGTTTTACCAATTTTTGTTCTTTGCACTCATCATCTTTGGGGTTTTCTGTTGGCAAGGATGATTCAGTTTTTAATGTAAAACAGTAATGAAACAAAACCTTCATGGATTTGTCTTTAGTATTCTTTCAACTAGAGAGATTCAGATCTGTCAACAAGACAAATTAGCTTCAAATCAGTAAAAGCCCTTAATCAGATACAAATAAATTTTGTATTCTCTTTGCAAATACCATATGTCCTGAACACGTGTATTGTTTAGCTCCTTTCAGTCAAAAAATCCCGTTGTCTTTACAGTAGAGTTTTTATTACATTTTAGGGTGTTGATTTGTTGTGTTGTTTTGGGTTTTTTTGAAAACCCACAGTTTAGTTTGCAGTTAAACAGTTGGAAGGTTGCTGCTATTGGATCAAATTCTGATTAGAGTAAAAATTTTCTTTAAACAGAAACAAGAAAGAAAAAAAAAGAGAAAGAGAAACAAATGACAGAAGAGAGAGAGAACGCTCCACCTCCAAGAAAAAAAATAGTAAAGAAAAAGAGGGGAAGGAGAAGCCTGACAAAAGCACCGCTACTTTGAAGGTAAACTGTGTGACCAAGTGATAAACAGTGAAGTGGAGCTAGTGGAGGTTCCCTCCCTTCTTTTTCTTTCTTTTCCTTCTGTTTTCCTTACTGTACCAAATTATTACTCTTTGGGTCGAGTTTTTGGCAGTTGGAGACCTACATTTGATGTTAGTGTGCCAGTTTGATTATTAATCTGTGTTGGAACTTTAGTGGACCTATAGGAACTTGTGTGAATAGGTTATGGAAATGCTTGTTTAGGTTTCTATTTCCTGTTCAGTGCCTTATGTTAGGACTTGGCTGGCTGCCTATCTGTAGGAGCAGGCAGGAAGCAGACTGTAACTAAGGAGCAGTATCAAGAGACAGCTTGGCTGTCAAACTGGGGAGATTACTTTTTTGAGAAACTTTCACTCTGCGCTTCAGCCTCTCCCTGATTGCTCTGATCCTGGCCTGTGTATTAGACTCTGCAGGAGAAAGCTGGAAGATGGGAAAGAGCGATATGGGATTTGCCCTTGCAAAATAAAATGTGGTGTGATTAAGAAAAGAAATGTCATTGAATTGTTCATCTTAGAATTTGAAAAGCAGCATGCTTTTAGAGAGTAGTGTTTTGTACTCAGAATTATTCACCTATTACTAAAGAGCTGGTTTAAATTACTCTGTCCACATGCTTAAGTAATTCTCTTACTGAAGAGCTCTCTTAAAATGCTTAAAATACTTGACAAAAATATGAAAGAGAAAATGTAACCCTATTTTATTGAGAAAATATGGTGAAATCTCAGTTTCTGGAGCTGCTTCTCTCAGGTTCCATGATACTGCTTGTTCTGTTTTTTCTGAATACTGATAATAAAGACAGATCACTTTATGGCAGTTATTTACTGGATGAGGAGTTGTTATAAGTGCCTAACTTCAGCCACTTGATAAGAGATTTTTTTTTTAAAGGAAAAGAAGCAGACATGTCTGTTACAAAAATTGCTGAGACGATAAATATGTAAAAATGGAGACAATAAAAATGCCAAGAGTTTGTTGGAGGTCATATCCTGTAATGTTAAGAATTATTTTTTTTGTGTAAAATAATTTTATTTTTGGTAGGACAAAGATCACACTAAAGAGGATCAGAATTCCGAAACTGACAAGGAAGTAGACAGCAGAGATACACAAAGGACAGATGAAGTCAAACTGCAACAGAATGGGAACTGTCAACCAAATGAAGAAAACCTCTCAGTTAAAATGGAAGAGGTTTAAAGCTAAGAATGGGCTTCTGATTCAACTAAGGAATGAAATCCAAAGCTTTTTATTTCCTGGAACAAGTAAGAAAATGTCAAAGCAATCAACTTGAACGTGTTGATAGTACTAGTAGCTCTTCCAATTCTTGTGATAGCTTTGTTGTCTTCCTTGCTGTAAAGCAAGAGAGTACAGACTAGTAGTTACACCATGAAAAGGCAGATGCCATCAGAACTATTCTTCTCTGAAAATCCATGCATTTCCATAATGGCTGTACTTGTAAGATGATTTATGTCATGTTTTGCCATAAGCTGTTACAAATAAATAGAAACTGAAATATGTAAACCTGTATTACCCCCAAAAAGCTGAAGACTAGCATTGAAAGTTGTTTTAAATACTGCTTGTTGATGAATTTTGTATTGTTTTACCTTGTGGGTTAAAAAAATCCGCAAAAACTTCAATGTGTACTGTTTGATGTGCTTGGAAATTGTGCATAAATATACACTTTCTTTTGTTGTACATGACAACTGTAGGG